ATGCGGGTCGGAGCGGCGCGGGGAGGCGGCGGAGGCGGGAAGGAGGCTGTCCGAGGAGCCCCGCAGGTAAGCGCGGGAGCCCGCGGGCCGGGGAGGGGCCGCGGCGCCGGGACCCCCGCGACCCCGGGGCAGGACCCGGGGCGAGGGGGGTCGCGGGGGGACCCGCTGCCGTGCCGCGAGGTGCCCGAGAGTCACACGCATAGGCCGGGGGAAAAGTGATGGTCCAGCAGGAGACGCGGGGAGGCTGCGGACTTGGCGGCCGCGGTCCCCGCGCGACCCCGGCCCGGCCGCCCCTCCCCCGCCGGCCGCCCGCGCGGCGCCCCGCGGCGCTGCCTCCCGCTGCGCGCGCCGGGGTGGGGGGTGCGGGGTGATGCTGGAGGGGGTTGGGGGGTTTCCCACAGGGAGGGGGGCGGAGGAGGGGCGGCCCCGCGGCCCCGCGGCCCGGGCACCGCCGCGTCCGCTCCCGGTTGCAGGCGCCCGCGAGCCGGATGCGGTGCGTGGACGAAAGATGCATCATGGAATGAACCCGAGCCCGGGGGACGGATTTCTGCAGCAGCAGCAACCCCCGCCGCCGCAGCCGCCGCCCCCCCGCAGGCTGCTGGCCGCCGTCCTGGGGATCCAGCTGGCGCTGTGCTTCGGCCCCGCACAGCTCACTGGCGGTGAGTGACCGCAGGGCCCGCGCCGCGGGGGAGGGCGCGGGTCTGAGCCCACCCTCCGCCGGGACCCCCGGAAGTCCCCCGATGCCTGCGTGCGGCGCCCCCGGGTCACACACACCGCCGCATGGTGCCTGGAGCTGCCCGCAGCCTGGCTCCTCCGAAGGGGGCACAGTGAGCCGATCCATTCGTCTCACTTGGGCCACCGGGGAGCCAGAGAGGGGGAGAGGGCGTTTCTGTGCTGAGCGCGCGTTTGGGGGCCTTGTGCCGCGTCGGTGCCCTCAGCGGAGAGAGGCCAGGTGTCAGGTGTCAGAGGCCGGGGCAAGTTGTCAGGACCACCCCCCGCCACCTTGGAGTGTGAAGGGTCTGAGGACCCGGCTAGGCTGGCGGAGGGACTGTCTGTCGGGAAGTTAACTTTCTCGTTTCTTGGGAGGTGGTGAGTTCCCGCGCCCCTGCGTGTGTTGGGGGGGGCGCAGAGGGTTTCCTGCAGGGGGGCGGGGCCGCGGAGGGGTTCCTGCAGGGGGGGGGGCGAGGGCGCGGAGGAGTTCCCGCAGCGGGGGGCGGGGGCGTGGAGGGGGCTCCTCAGGGGCGCTTCTGGAGGATGGCTTCGCTTCTCCATGTCTGATTTACAGGAGAATACAGTCAAGGGCGTGTGTGAGGGGGAAGCTGGCTGAAATAAAATTGATAGCCTTGGTCCACACCAGAGGCTGATCCTCCGCGTGTTGGGTTCTGGGGGAGGGGGCTCTGTCGGCCTCAGGCCACGGTGGAGGAGGACGGATGGAGTCCCCGGGAGCATTTGGGAGCGCACTGGTGTCTGTTCCTGATTTCTGGGAGAGCTTGCTCATGTGGACCTGGGAAAGGGCAGACTCACATTTCCAAGCTGAACTACTATTCATATATAAATAAATGATAATTGGTGGAAAAGCAGATATCGATTGCTATCAATAAACCATTTCCTGTTTAAAATATTGCTGTTTCAGAGAGTGAAGGTGAACAAGGAGAGACGTGAGTGGCAAACTAGTAAACGTGGAGGAGGAAAAGCAGAGCAATCCAGAACTCGGGCGTCGTGCGGAGAGATCTGGATGTCCGGAGCATAAGGGAGCTTTCTGGGTGTGCACGTCTCAAAATTAGTGAGAGGACACTTGCTTCGCCTTAGGGACCCGGTTTTGGCTTTGTTTGGTTTTCTAACAAGGAGTGACTTTTTGGGTGTTCGTAGTTCTGGAGAAACGTCTCTGAGGTGGGTGTCCTCTTCCCAGAGGTCGAGGGCAAATGGGAGGCGAGGCTAGCCGCTGTGCGGCCTGCGGGGCTCTGGTTGGAGCCTCTGTGCTGCTCCGAATTAGTTCTGCTTCTAGGGTGTGTGGGCACAGGTGGGCAGGAAAGCACGAGTGGGGGTGGGCCTCTCCCTTCCTTCCTCACTTCCCCCGATTCTAGCTTTGATCCCTCCAATGTGGTCCACGCCACCCTTCCATCCCCTCGGTCCATTTCTCCCATGTAGATGACGCACTGTCAGGGTTCATCTGTGTAGCTCTTGACCAGTTACTGGACGTTGAGCTTCTCAAGCTGAGCTGTGCTCCTGGGTCTGCTGTTCATGTTCACAGAGATTCTCCTGAAGGATCTCAGAGCTCAGTGCACCGCCCGGCCCCCTTGGGCTCATGTTAGTCCTTTACCCCCGTCTTCCGAGGGAGAAGACGTCAGGCACCAACATCCAGGCCTTGAAGGAGAAGCAGGGAGGAAGGGGTTGCCTGTCAGCCCTCAGTTCAGAGCTGTTCCTTCTCAGGCACTCACATGACACAGAGAGGCTAGCCACCACCTGTGTTTCACATTGAACTCCTTCAGGCTGCGAGGGTGATTCCTGGGAGAGTATTTATCATTTCAAGATTCCTCTGTGGATAAACAGCTTGGGTGGAGAGGGTGGGGGGGGTGTTCTGTGGAGTACACTATACGGAGACTTCTTTCTCACGGCAGAAACTCATGTGGAGGCTCCTGGATGGTAATAAAAGCAAATCCCTTAATTCTAGACCTGTGCTTCTAAGACTTTGACGTGCATTCTGTCACCTGGGATCTTACTGAAAGGCAGGTTCTGGTTCAGGTGGTTTGGGGTGGGGGGTGGGGCGGAAGATTCCACATTTCTGACAAGCTCCCAGGTGATGTGTGGCTAATGGTTCAAGACTACGCTGATGAGCGGTGCTTTAGACTGAGGCGTCCTTAAACATGTTGTTTCTGACCCTAGAATCACTCGTGGTTACCAAATGGAAGGGCCTGGGCGGGGGCGGGGGAAAGCAGAGGCCTCCTAATCTTCCCGTGAGGCACAGAGCTAAAAACCAGCCCCCCCAGAGTGCTTTCCTTTTTTTTTTTGTTCACAAAAAAGATGTATGTTTAATAGATACTGTTTTAAATTGTGGATTTTCATTTTTGATTGCTTTTACTGGAAAAAGAAACAGCATAATAGTAAGATATTATAGTCTGAGCTAGGAGGAAAAAACAGGTGTCCAATGCGTGCGTGTATTACAGAAAAAGCCCAAGCCAGAAAGGGAGAAATTGAGAAGACGATCAGACTAAGAGGGGAAAGAACTCTGTCAAAAAGGAGATGCTTTGTCCTCGAAAGGCGGACTCACTTCAATTCTCCGAGTCCTAGGAGAGAATCCGTGAGCCTGAGTTTGCCTGAGGTGACTTTTGGGTGGCTCTTTCCAGGTTGTCTTTTGTGGGTTAGGGAAGAGGGCCCTCATCTGGGGCCACTAAGACCAAATACCCTTAGAGGACTAACAGCAGGCTTACAGGGAGACACAGGACCCGCTGTCCCCAGGGTCTGCGTGGAGGGTGGTTTCAGCTGCTTCTCTCCCTCCAGAGACCTATGGGGTGTTTACATGCAGGGCTCAGAGTTTGCTCTGTAAGTCTGTCCCTGAACGCAGATTCATTAGCACATCCCTGTGTTGTGAGGAATGTAGGCCAGGCTCTGTGACTCCATAGCTTTGGGGCCTTGGACTTTGGAAGCCTAGCATCCTCATCTGTAAACTGGGGATGGTGCTGCCTTACTTCAGGGGTTGGTGTGTGGACGGAAACTGTGTAGGTACGCAGTAAGTGCAGGTGGATGGCGCCGGAATCTTCCAGGCCTTTGCTTTATTCATTCAGGAAATATTGAGTGCCCGTCTATACCCTGTGCCAAGCACTGTGGTGTACAATGTTGTTTTACCTAGAACAACCCTCTCTTACTCCCTATTTTTTTGCCCAATGAACAAGTTTCACTTCAAAACAAGTTCAAGTGCCATAATCTCTTTCATATTTCCCTGGTCACTGGGCTGTCCCTTCACCTGGGCTCTCATTGCACTAAGTATAACCCTCCCTCATGGATCAGTCTCACCCGCTGGACCGTAAGCCCACTGAAGGCAAGAAGCCGGACTTTATTCACCTCTGTGTTTCAGGTGCTCAGCACAGCATGTGACACGCAGGAGATGCTCAGCTGATGTTGATTGACAGCGGAAAGGAGTCCCAAATTATTGCCACACTGTTTAGAAAATAATGACCATGGGTGGTCACAAAGATGCCAGTTTCATGGCTATTGAGGCCACGTCCGTTTGGAGGTGGTCTAGGAGGTTGGAGGAGAAATCAGGAAAGGCACTAGAGCAGAGGTGACCCTTAGGCTGAGGTCTGAGGGAGGGATGGTTGGAGGGCTGCAAGGGGAGAGACACCTTGTGCAAAAGTGTGGGGGCGGTCATGTGCTTGCCTGTTCAGGGAGAGTCAGGCTGATCTAGAACAGCAGACCTGCGGAGAGCCAGGAGAGCGGGGCTGATCTAGAACAGCAGACCTGCGGGGAGCCAGGAGAGTGGGACTGATCTAGAACAGCAGACCTGCGGGGAGCCAGGAGAGCGAGGCTGATCTAGAACAGCAGACCTGCGAGGAGCCAGGAGGTTGAGGCTGATCTAGAACAGTAGACTCGCAGGGAGCCAGGAGAGCAGGGCTGATCTAGAACAGCAGACCCACAGGGGGCCAGGAAGGTCAGGCTGATCTAGAAGAGCACACCCTTGGGAGCCAGGTGAGTAGGGCTGATCTAGAATAGCAGACCCATGAGGAGGCAGGACAGCAAGGAGGACAAATAGGTTGGAACCCTATTGTAAAGAACCTTGGAAGCCGGTGAGGATTCTGAACATCGCACTGCAGGCTGTGAGCACTTGCCAAGGGGTTTAGGGCAGGTGCATGATACTGTCCGAGCTGTGCTTAGTTTCCGTTTTCTGCTTGCAAATCTGCGACCTGGGCCCTCCACTCAGCTGCCCTCTCTGTGGGTCAGAGTTAGGGCACCCGTGCCGAGGAATGAGGCTCCTTGAGGTCTTGCTGAGGCCGTGGCACTGGGCTGTGTGCCTGCAGTGGGCGACACGTGCTTTGCCTGGTTCACTGATTCCGTGATGCCAGAGTCTCGGTGGAGTCTCATCGAGAAGGTTTCTTACCTGGTAGAGTGGGAGCTTTTCATGCAACGCGATGTCTAAAAGTCACGGTTTCAAAGTGCACTTAATCTGCAAGCGAAAGTCCCAACTTCTCAAGCTACAAAGTACGTGTATTCAGCAAAAGGCCACCTTAATACATGTGAGTAGCATGGAAACTCTTCTGATTTATCCACGAGGTGGAATCTGAGAGCTTTTGGAGACACGAGAAGGGTTTCCTGCAACAGGCAGCAAGTCTCTGCTCTCAGAGGCCTGAAGTGAGTCTGTTGGTCTCTAATTCTTGTGGGTAACGAAGAGTGTAGGTGAAGATCTCTCTCCAGTAAATATTGATTGGACACACGAAGAAAAGCACCCACAGTCTCTGCTCCTGGCATCGGAGGCATATTTCAAAAGCTTCCAAAAGGCCAGGAGACTAGCCCTTAGCCGGGAAGCTCTGCTGCAGCATGAGGGGCCGCGTTCTTCACAGAGTTGTACGGTGAAGTTCAGTCTCTGCCGCTGAATAGCTACATGGCTTTGGGCAGGTGTGCACCTTTTCCTTGGCTCAGTCCTCCCCACATCGCTGGCCCTCTTTGA